CAGGCTGATGAGGCGGTAGCTCTTCCCGCACTCCTCACAGCCGTAGGGCTTCAGCGGGCTGTGGGAGGGACAGGGAGGTCAAGCAGAGCTGGGGGACACCCCATCCACGTGGCCCCATGTGGGAACCAACACCCAGCTCTTCTGCTGCCCTCTCCGCATCCCAATCCCAGCTCTCTCCCTGGCCCCAGGGCAGAGGTTTTTGGACCCCACGGGATGTCTCGAAGTGCCACAGTGCAGACGAACGCAGGCCAATCAAGCCAAGAGGCACGGAGAAGTTCACCCATTTACAGACCTCTTGCTCTAACCATTCAACCCTCAGGCAGCGACTGCGGTGGCCACAAGCCTCATCAGGGCGGCTCAGCCTGGCTGCACCTTGTTGGCCCGGCGCGCGTTACCTGTGCGTCTTCTCGTGCGCTTTGCACGCGGCCGGGTCCGAGAAGGCCTTGTTGCACTCCCGGCAGGAAAAGGGCTTCTCCCCGGTGTGGATGCGGATGTGCCGCTTGAAGTTGCCCGTGTGCGTGAACTCCTTCCCGCAGTCCTAGGGACGCAGAGAGAGACGCGGCCGCCAACACGTCCAGGAAGGTCCCCGGCGCTGGAGACCCGCGCGGAGCCGCGGCCGGCCTCACCTCGCACTTGTGCGTGACGGAGCCGTAGGCTTTCGACTCGGTCCGGTCGCTGTAAGTTCCCGAGCGCAGCAGGCGGGTTTCCCCCGAATTCTCCTGCCCAGAGTCTGTGCTCCCCGATTCATTATCCTCAGCGTTTTCTCCGTTTTCTAACCTGGGTTGCTCTTCCTCGGCAACTTTAGCTTCCTCCTCCTCCTCCGCTGTCGTCTCCCCTTCTTCCTCCTTGCCTTCCACTCCCATTTCTGCAGACATTTAGAAAATGTGGAGGTCAAAAATGAGAAGCGGCATCACAGACACAAATCCTGTCTATTTTTCCTAATCCTAAACACAGGTTTAAGGTGCTGGGGATTAAGGTGCTCTGCTCTGGGTATCCGTACGGTACAACACGGGTGCCGTGCACATGCCAAGATCTCTGCTCAGGGCTTTTGCAGCGCTTTACTAGCCCTGGGGCACAGGGCCAGAGCTCTCACATGGTCTGAGCGGTGTCTGCCCCCCTCTCCTCACTTT